GTGTGTGTGTGTGTGTGTGTGTGTGTGTGTGTGTGTGTGTGCGCGCGCGCACGCACTTGCACAAAGACGATTTTTACACAGGTCTGTCCAATAATACTCAACAAAAAGGCATTATTTTATGGGGTGTTAGAGTACATGTGTTTGTATTCAGTCTGCCTCTGTACCATACCGACTTCCCACACAACACATTTTATCATAGGTAAAGGGACAACGTGTAAGTGCTTTTCGTTCAAGCCACATGGCCACTTGAACAAGCACAGTACAGAAAAGCTCAGCCTCTGGAAGTCCTGGCTCGCGATATGGTTCCAATGCTAAGTCAAACACAGAAATTAAAATACAAATTCGTTGCCGTGGTTACAAATAGAATAGAGGTATTCATCAGTGTTATATGTATATTAGCGTAGTTGCAAAGCAACTTCCAGTGGCATTTAAACAGACTCTTGCATAATTAACAAAGGTCACTTTTTATTACATAAACATTTTGACTGCTGTTGCATCATTCAATTAAAAATTAAAAGCTTAAGACAAACGAATGATGCAACACTTTCCCAAAAAGAAGAGATCATTGCCAAGGTAATTTAGTGCCGTATTTTGTGCTTTTGTTTTCATTTTAATCATAATGTTCTTAATAAGGTGCAATGAACGACACTTGGAACATGTACTTCGGTGTATATTTTCTAAATCTATTATGAAAAATAAATTAACATGCAAAAAAGTTGGTCGCGACTTTGGTACCTCGGTGACACCAGTTTTCGATTGAAACTTCAAATATTTCAGACACAAGGCAACCAAGACATCATTGTTTGTAGAAGATTATTGTCACTTCTGTCTACCTGCCGTGTTCACACTTCAGTCAAATGTTGCGTTCTTCGTTGCTGTCGCTTAGCTGCAGTGAGGGAACAAAAAGAGTTGTTGCCCGAGACGCTGAACTACTTTTTTCGCATTTTCCTCATGGGGTCTTTCATCGACGGTAGCGGCTTTTGAGAAGACAGGCAATTCACACAAACACACAGCCGTGTTCCTTGGTGTTTGTCATACACGAGCGGTGGAAAACGCAGCCGTGAAAGAAATGATGTCGGTCATCTTCCGGTAATATTGGCTCGTCTGAGCTGAGTCTGCGCAAACGTAGTCACGTGGTGGATCCGCAAATTGGTTCGCGACTTCCGCAACCATTTTAATCTTCTACAGTACGGTTTTTTTCGCCATCAAATCACAACATCCTCAACTGGACAATCGTGTGCTTCGTTCAACAAATAATAGATATATAAAAAGATACTTATTTGGATGTATTTTTGTTTAAGAAAAAAAAACTCGACCTTCTCTTTTCGTGTACCGCTACTAGCTCGCACTAACCCAAGATGGCTGCTTCCTGTGCTGCATTCTCCATGTCCAAAATAATCCAATCTTTTCGGGCTGGATTTGCTGGCAACACTTTGAAAGTAAGACGATGAACGCTTCTAATATGCCCCGAACGTCTGTGCTTGAATTATATGCAAAACTTGTTTGATTATCTTTATCGTGGCACAAGGTCAAATGAGTATAAATTAGTAGTAATACACATTATTTCCCCTCCAGTCAAACGCTTACGGATTTTTATTTTAATTGTGATCCTTCAGGTATTTGGAACAACCGTCACAACTCACAGGAATAAGACGATGCTGACTGTGAGTGTCTTAGCGTGTCAGTGTGAATACACGTGGGGGTTTCTTGCCCCTAATATGGTCGTTCATGAAAATGTCATGCCAATTGAGAATTGTGTGAAAATCTGTTTTAACTTTACACGGGCTGAAATAGATCTTATTCATCATAATTTGGGTTTGTTTTTCTAACGTTTGATCTGCTTTCCATGCTGCCTGTCTGCATCCAAAGGGAAATAACATTGTAAGTATGTGACATGGCAACACGACAAAGCATCACATTACACACTACGAATTTAAAGGTCATCATGATATTGAGAACTTATTGGCACTTGTAAAAAATTGAAATACAATTATTAAACAGGAAATATCAGATTTATTTTATTTTTTTTTTTTACACATCATCTTTTATTTTTATTTTAACTACAAATCATGTCTCTTCGGCACAAATCATGTCTCTTCGACACAATGTTCATAAGAGATCACAAGAAGTCCCAATTGGTTGCATCGAATTTGTTACAGCCTCCTCCAGCAAAGTATGGCGGCAGACATACTGTCACTCTCATTCCTGGAGATGGAATCGGTCCAGAGCTGTTTAGTCACGTCAGGGAAGTGTTCAGGTTGGTATAAAAATGGCAAACAGCAACAAATTCAGTTGAGCTTTTGTTTCACCCTGTGTCTTGTCTGTAGGTTCAGCTGTGTACCCGTGGACTTCGAGGTGGTACAAGTCAATTCTGCCTTGGAGACTGAAGATGACATCAATAACGCCATCACTGCCATTCGCCGTAATGGAGTAGCCCTCAAAGGTGAGTCATTAGGGGTGTTCACACGGTACACATTTGATCCGGCGCTGCACCGATGTATTTTGTTGCGATATAGTTTACACCGGAGCAAATTTTGTGGAGCGTTCACACGTACAAAGCCGCTGAGCGTGGCAGCACCGGCATAGCGTCGGTGCAGCTCCACTTGCGTTCACACGGCAGTTTCTGCAGCAGAGCAAAACGACAGAAAACAAATGAGTTGTCGTGTTGGTTCTTTTTTAAACGTATACACAACTCAAGCAACTACTGTACAGGTACGTCCTTCTCCTTCTCGGTCTCCGTGCCTTCTGCTCGAGAGTGACCGCCCCCCCGATAACGTAAATCAACAATGACTTCAATGACACTCAGAAAAGCAAAAATGTAATGCGCCAAACAGAAAAATCAAGAGAGGAAATCACGAAATAAATTCTATGGGGCACGGGGGGTTGTGAACACACAACAAAGGAACAAACTACACAAACAACTCTGAGACAGTCCAGTCTCCTACAAAAGAAAAGATGACGTTTGGAGACTATCCTCCCCACGTTCTAGTTGAGATGGTATAACCCAAGAGGTGCTTTGCTACTGTTACCAGCCTCGTCTTGTGTCGTTATTAAACAAACACATGACAGAAGTCCGACAGAGCACGAAAGCAACGCATTCTCGCCGTACGTAATCAACTCTTCTCATGTGTAGAGAGGCTACTCCCCCCTCGCAAACGAGCATTTGCTCCGGAGCAAATTGTAGCGTTCACACGTGCAAATTTACATTGGTGCTGTGCCGCAAACGAGCATTTGCTCTGGAGCAAATTTTTAAACCACCTCCCTGAGGTGGATCAAATTTGGTCCGGTGTAAGCTGTTTAGCGGCGCTACGCCGGAACAAATTTGCACGTGTGAACGCTCAACTGGCGCAGCGCCGGTGCTGTGTCGGACCAAATGTTGCCGTGTGAACACCCCTATTTTCTCTGTCATCTTCAATTTTCATCCATTTCATTTTATTAAATGTTGTTTGTATTTTCAAGTGATTTTTAACTAAAGTCACATGAACAAATGAAATGATCCAAATGCACACCAAATTAATCAGTTAATAAACAGAAGTAGAGAAAAATGTGGTTTTGTAATATACATTAATGTAGAATAACATTTTATCCAATTATTCGATCAACCAATGGAATAATCTTTTCTAACAAAATTTGATTGACAACCCTATAATGTAGTCTCCATGAGAAAAGACCTCTGCCAAGCCTTTAACATTCATTGAAATAAACAATTGGCCAGAGCTGTTTTTTATTGTGTATTATTAAGGTCGTTGTGAGTTCAGGGGATTTTTATTGAATGGATGTCATTGAGATGGATAATACACAAGAATTTGGCAAAATACTTCAAGAAGTGTTCCAGATATAAGGGGGGGGGGGTTCCTTGAGATACAGGTGATCCCTAATTATGAGATTTTCAAAATACACGCTGTTGTTCTGTCAATTGTTTGCGTGGATATGCGAGTAAAAATTAGAGATACTGAGTGCTGTATGGTGGCAGTGAACTCAACTCAACGGCCTTCACAACAAGCATCAGTTTGACAGAGCTTCTTCAAAAAAAGTCTTCAGTCTGCCTTCATTGCCACTCGCAGTTGACTTTTACTCTCAAACCAAACATACAAAAAGAAAAACAAAGATAAATTCTGTTGCGTATTTAAAACACCCACATAGCTTTGCCTTTGGTATGTCCACTTAGCTGAATGATAACAAACAATGCAAAAGGGCACAGGCAGGCTAACCAATAGCATTGACATTTGAACACAAACGGTGGAGCAACGCATGTAGACAGATAGTATAACAAGTCAATGGTTTTAATTGAGTTTAATGTCGTCTATGTCGTTAATTCTCCCGACAGGTAACATAGAAACCAAACACACCATGCCCCCTTCTGTCAAATCCAGGAATAATCTTCTTCGGTAAGTTTTAATTATTTGTTTTATGTAGTTCTAGTTTTTTAATCCTTTCTGTTATGTTTCAACAGTACAAGCTTGGACCTGTATGCCAATGTGATGCATTGCCAGTCCCTCCCAGGCGTCCAGACTCGCCACAAGAACATTGACATTATGATCATCCGAGAGAACACCGAGGGAGAGTACAGCAGTCTGGAGCATGAGGTTGGTGAAACCAATGTTTCTCACCAAAAAAATAAAAACAAATGCCGCCGCAAATCATGCATCGAATGACCTGCAGAGCAAGTACGGACCAAACAAGCGAACCAAAGGACTTTTCTGGTGTGAAAACACCCTCTCGGTCCCTGGCACAGATCCATGAACAAAGACACATTATTTGTAGTTTTTACAAACAAATATTTGGACCCCTTAAGTCAAATTGGATAATTTCCCACCCCAACGCTAATGTGCCGCAAATCCTTAACCATCATCAGTCAAGCCTTCTTAATGGCTCAATGTGTCCTTTGGCCTTTTTTAGAGTGTGTCCGGTGTTGTGGAGTCTCTTAAGATAATCACCAGGAACAATTCCCTCCGAATTGCGGAATACGCCTTCCGGCTGGCTAGAGAGAAGGGCCGACGAAGGGTCACGGCTGTCCACAAGGCCAACATCATGTGAGTTGCATGAGCCTCTCTTCCCCTGCGTCATATTGTGTGGCTAATTGTTCGGTGCCAACAGGAAACTGGGCGACGGCTTGTTCTTGCAGTGTTGCAGAGAGGTGGCCTCGGGGTACCCCGACATCACATTCGATAGCATGATCGTGGACAACACCACCATGCAGGTGAGAATATGTCCAGAGGGTAATGTTTGCAAATGTCAATTTTCAAATCAGATGTCTTGATCTAAATCACCTGGGGGTTGGGGACCGCTGGTTTAAATAACAGTTAAGTTGAAAGATTAGTATTAATAAGAGAACAACTAAGGAGAAACAATGAAAAGGTTCAGGAAACTAAAAGACTAAATAAGAATAAGCGGAAACGGTATCGGAAAAACTATTGAATAAATGCCATCGAAAGCTGGGCTAAAAAAGTAACTTTCTTTAAAAATATCAACACCTGCAGCCGCTCGCAGATCTTCAGGAAGCATGTGGAGTAAGATAAAAAAAGGATGCCGCACTGTGATCTTTTGTTCTCAGTTTAGTGACTAATAACAGACTAACACATGGAGAAGTGAGAATTCTGGATGGCTCATTAGTTCAAATCAAAACTGATGGCCAAAGCCCATGAAAAAGAAAAAGAATCAACAAGTGGCCCAGGCCCATCTGAGTGTGTGTGTGTGTGTGTGTGTGTGTGTGTGTGTGTGTGTGTGTGTGTGCCCCCAGCTGGTGTCCAAGCCTCAGCAGTTTGATGTGATGGTGATGCCCAACCTTTACGGCAATGTGGTGAGCAACGTGTGCGCCGGCCTGGTGGGAGGGCCCGGCCTCGTGCCCGGAGCCAATTACGGCCGTGACTACGCCGTTTTTGAAACGGTGCGAGGACTCTTCTGTTGCACGAGGATGGAAATTGCAACAGTTGTGTTTGCAAGATGAGCTGATGATGATTTTTTTTTTTTCCCCAGGCCACGAGGAACACTGGCAAGAGTATCGCAAACAAGAACATTGCAAACCCCACAGCCCTGTTGCTTGCCAGTTGCATGATGCTTGACCATCTTAAGTACGTCCCCGCACTTTCTGCCTCCATCTGCCATGCGACTCTTTTAACTAGATTTTTCTTCCTTTTCTGGGTGCCTCCAGGCTGTATGATTACGCAACTCTGATCCGGAATGCGGTACTCACAACCATGAATGAAACCCAGGTGAGTCCTGCTTTCTGCAGCAATTCTTGCCCTTCACCCTGCTGCCCTTTTAACGCAATGTTTTTGTTTTTTTGGGTCACCATTCAGTTGCACACAGCAGACATTGGAGGGCAGGGCACCACATCAGAAGTGGTTCAGTCCATCATGCGAATCATCCAGAGCAAAGGACAACGCACAGCTGAGATGTAAATATCGAACACTTCACTGACGGCCCTCACATGTGCACACATCGTCATTTGTATTTTAGACCTCTGAACAGTAATTTTTCCAAGTGTGTTTCTGATGATGCTTATTCCGTGCTAACTTGATATCGGCCCATTCCCAGTCACTTTACTGTAGCCTACTGTTCTCCCATTGATCTTCTGCTAAGCCAAACCCTGGAAACACTCGCTGGCTAAGCACGGTTTGACTCATTCCTGGCATCACTCAAATTCAGTGAGATGCACTTTTCAAGGCTAGGGTTTAATCCGACTCTTTCCAAAGCTATTATGGTTAAGCAATGGCCTTGAGGCATCTACGCAAGTCCCAAGTCATATCCTGAGATGCTGAAAGGAATATCAAAATGAAATGCAAACGCTAGCTAAAGCTTTGTGGTTGTCAAGAATCAGAAGACACAACCCTAGCTGTTCCAAGACAAGCAATTTACTTGTACTTTTCGGGAAGATTGTTATCTTCTGTTGTAAGTTCGCTCACAAAAAAAAACATTACAATATTTTCTAGCCTCGTGAAGCCTCGTTATTTATGGAGCTATATTTTTCAACTTTCAGTTGACCATACTGTGCAATGAATGACTTCCTGCTGTGCTGTAATTATGATACAAAATGCCACCGTACTCTACAAGTTGTGTCTGAAAAGTAACGGCACTCTTATGTTACTAACTGTACTATCTTGTATGTTGACAGCATATCAACCAAACAACTCAATTTGAATGCATACTGTGCACCGCGACATTACAAGCTTTTTGTCTTTAGTGAATGTGGACACTTTTTTTTGCATGGTTGTACTCTATAACATACATATCAATAAAGATTCGTTTTTTGGGTTGTTTTTTTTTTTTTTTTTGTGGAATTGTATTTGCTAAAGCTTCTTCAACATGATCAAAACAAAGCGTATGCAGTCTTTGTAGACCAGGGGGCCATATAAGGAATGCTGTGTTCTTTAACCAGGACTACCAATTGGTTTCGCGATCAAGAGCTGTGTAGTATTTTTCATTAATTTATGTCCCCCCCCCCCAAATAATTTAAAAAGAATTGTATTTATTTAAATTATCTGATTAAATAATTGGCTGGTCGAATTATTGTGAATAGAAATAAAATATTGGGAATATACTGTAAATAATTTGGCATGTACTGTACATATAACCAACATTTATTGAATTAAATCATTGGCAAACGAATTATAAAAAATTGAAATGAAAATGGATGACCTATTTTACATACACATTTGCGGGGGGGGGGGGTTACTTCATTTACAAATGAGCTGGCGGTCGGCCCATCCGTCCATTTTATATGACACCTTGCCGGTCGTGTTTTCAAACAAGTTGGCCTTTGCAACTTGCTGTAATTCCATTTTGTCACTAGGGGGCAGACACGCGCGCAGACTGTGCAAGCTGAAACAATGACTGGATCTGCTTGCGTGGGTGCGTGCGTGCGTGTGTTACGCGACTGCAAATGTAAGCCCCTCTGGCAGAGAGCTTGTTAAAACATAATAGTGACATTTCTGCTTCTCTCAATTGGGTTACAATGAATAACGGGCTCCGAATGCGAACCAAATATGACTACATCTGGCATTCTCGTTGCTCTCCATTTCAATTGGATTCAAGAACTTAACCATCGTCACAAGGTAAAATCCAAAACATTTCCTATGTAGTTTACCCAATCTGACCTTTCCCTCACTTGAAGATGACAGGATTCGAATTGAATTCGCTCCATGACCATGCTTCTAAACCATGCTCAAAACATCCTAAATCACTGTTGCCCTTCGAAATGAATGCAAATGCATAAATTCATTTCAGCCTCACCACAAAAAAAATATATAATGTCGAATTTTACTCCATAAAAACATACAGTGATGACATAACTAAATAGAATATAAAGAATTAAACAGTGCCATATTTTTTTCTTCTGGTGTGTGAGCCTTGGCCACCGAGGGGCAGTAATAATACTGATATGGAGAAGATCAGAAGTTATTTCTCAGTAAGCAGCAGTAATATATGTTGTTCTACAGAGAGGATTCTTCTCATTTCAGACGAGAATAATGCAGAGCTTTTTGCTTTTTTCGCAAGAGCTTCCCCACACATCATCCTCTTCCTTTCAGGTCATCAGCATGCACCCTGGCGCCCCTGTTACTCATCGCTTCGCATTCTCTCTTCTCCTTTGCTCGTCTCAACTTTTCATTGCGTACTGGCAAAAATTATTGCCTCTGTAGTCCCGCTGTTTAAAACATAGTTGAAAGTCTCCAGCTTTTTCACTACGTCAGCCAGTCCTTCTGTATGCTCCCATTGCAACGAGAGTGGCCATCTCCTGATCTACGGGTGCATTCGGAAAATTATCTCTGCTCTCTGCTCCAGTCCGACCATTCGGAAACTCTGAGCGTTTTTCGAAAGTGCCGTTGGGTTATTCAGAGTGCCACAAAAACAGGAGTGCTGGAGTGTACAGATGAAAGCAGTTCAAGCATGTGATGCTGATAGATTTATAACATAAAATGTTGTTCAACTTTGTCGGTTGTGTCTTGGAGGACCCATTGCAGATTCCTCCTCATGTAGCCTGCGTGGACCACAAAAAAAGTGTGGCGATTTTGGTCAGGCCCAGCACAGAAGAAGAGCAGAGCAACGTAGACCAGGAAAGTGTGCTCTGAAGCAGCCTTTGCTCAGGATCCGTCTCCATGGTTACAAAGGCCAGATTTGAAGGCGAGATTCAAAGGCTGCATGAATTCAAACCGCGGCGTGCGGTCAAGGTGGGCCAGAAGTTACATCACCTGGTCAACAAATTTTGGCCTTTGGAGGATGCAGCCAACGCATTTGGACAGAGCCATAGGATGTGCTTGGAGCCTGCTTTGCCTTGATATTCCTTGTTGCTGCTGCTGCAGCGACGTAGTAGAAGAAGTAACGGCAGCAGCAGAAGAATGGCTTCAAGACAGCAAGCTTGAGGGAAACGAATTACAATTGTATTTCCCAATTGCCTTTCCAATGCTCAGATCGTGTGGGCGTGAGTATCTTGAAAACTGCATGACGTTTGTCAAAAAAAAAATATATATATATACAGTGAAACTCCTCTACAACGAAATCATGTTTGCAGCAAGAAATTTTTCACAACAGGGGGTTTTTCACTGTAGCAAATTTGATCTCAGATGTAAGCACACACACACACAAACGTATGTGTACACGCACACACAAACGTTTGTGTACTCTATTTTTATTCCAATAGTACATAAGTATGAGCACACACTTATTTGACACTTCATATTGTCAGTGTAGAAAGAAAAAAAGGGAAAGAAATTGCGAAATTTACGATCAGCATTCACTTTCACTTACATCAATTTCTTGGAAAATGTATTTTATTTTGCTTGCTCCGTCTTTCATTTTGATCACTTTTACCCTCTCTTCCAGCATCAGAGCTCTTCTTGTCTTAGCTGCTTGACATCAAAAGGTCCGTTTTGTAGCCATTTTAGCAATGCAACGTCCATCCTCGTCTGAATCTAACAATAACAAATACTTCCTGGCATGCAATGAACTTTTAAGCCAGCCACGGGACGCTTCGTAGTCCTCGATGGCCATAGTTAGCTCTCGAAGGCTAAAAACCTTACGCTAACTGGAGCGCTAATGAGAGAGAAGCGCTCCAGTTAGCGTAAGGTTTTTAGCCTTCGAGAGCTAACTATGGCCATCGAGGACTACGAAGCGTCCCGTGGCTGGCTTAAAAGTTCATTGCATGCCAGGAAGTATTTGTTATTGTTAGATTCAGACGAGGATGGACGTTGCATTGCTAAAATGGCTACAAAACGGACCTTTTGATGTCAAGCAGCTAAGACAAGAAGAGCTCTGATGCTGGAAGAGAGGGTAAAAGTGATCAAAATGAAAGACGGAGCAAGCAAAATAAAATACATTTTCCAAGAAATTGATGTAAGTGAAAGTGAATGCTGATCGTAAATTTCGCAATTTCTTTCCCTTTTTTTCTTTCTACACTGACAATATGAAGTGTCAAATAAGTGTGTGCTCATACTTATGTACTATTGGAATAAAAATAGAGTACACAAACGTTTGTGTGTGCGTGTACACATACGTTTGTGTGTGTGTGTGCTTACATCTGAGATCAAATTTGCTACAGTGAAAAACCCCCTGTTGTGAAAAATTTCTTGCTGCAAACATGATTTCGTTGTAGAGGAGTTTCACTGTATAGAGAGAGAGAGAGATATAGATATATATCTATATATATCGTCTTGAAGAATTGATGGCTAATTGATGCCCCTCAAGGTCATTGGCAAAAGAGTCAAGGCTGACCGGAATTGTTCTCGGCTTGCTCCCAAAACATTTGTCATCTGGAATTTTGCCTAGGATGAAGACTACTGCTTTGGACGCGAGTGTTATCCCCCACACCCTCTCATGTGTTCTCAATTGGGATGGCCAAGGCTGTCTCTTCGGCAATGTGATGATATGCTTGGCATGCCAGCCGGGGACACTGACACATGGCGCTTTTCCATGAGCCCCCAAACATCCCCGCACCACACCACACCTCTATGCCCGGCACCACACGGCCTCCTTTGCTTTTCCTACAAAAGGCACGCGACAGGATGTGGGCGGGACCAACTGTATTGTGCAAGCTTGCTCTGCCCTACTCACACTCGCAGCATGCCTAAACACTTCAAAAGTGGGGAGTCTCGGCCTCTGTTGTTGGAGCGATTCAAAATATGAATTGCCGTTGTGTGACTTGGCGACGATGCAAAGTACAGCCCATCAAATTCACAGAAGCTTTCACGTCGAAAAATCGATTTCCGGTTTTAAGACAGCCAAACATACAAATTTTGTGTCTTTCAACAATCCGGAACCATGTTTACAATTTCATATGTCTCATGGATGAAATTAGGATTTCGTGAGCAGCATGCAAAGCTCGAGGCCCAATCTCATTCATTAGGACGCTTCTCAAGCCTATAAATTCAACACATTCATTTTCACTTTACATGAACTTGAAGCGACCAAGTCAATCTCAAGTTTTCTGTCTTCTGAGCGAGCCATCTGTACTTCTGCCCAACTCTTACCAAACAAAGTGTCACTGCGTTTGGTGATTAGATCTTGAAATAAATGCTTCCATTGTCTCACTTGTTTTCTGTGCTCTGGCCTCTGTTAACGTCTGGTGGATATTCTTCTTTTCTGAAATGAGGTCCAGTGGGTTGCCCTGACAACTCTAAAGAAAATAAATAAATATAGGGCAACCTTTAACAATTTAACTCAAAATTGTTCAGCTTGTGTGCAGCGCGTGATCCTCTGGAGTGACCGAGTGGTCAATGTATCTTTGAGCTTGAAGCAGGTGGCTGCTAAGATGTACTTTAACTTGGAAGGAGCAATGCTTACGCTGTCTGGATTTGTGAATCCAAAAGACATCAATCACATTTGATTGGTGACTCATGTTATTTTTTTCCACGACTTGTATCCCCCCCCCCACACACACACCCAACCCCCATTTCCTTCCATTGACTGAAAATATTCCCTCTCATTCCACCTTTTTTTTTAATCCTACTTTTGGATTGGACTTTGTCATTGTACTGCTGTGCCTGATGTTGTGGTTTTTGAGTTTACTGTACGGTGATGCTGAACTTGGGCGGGCCGATGGTCCAGTGGTTAGCGCGTCGACCTCACAGTGCAGAGGTACCGGGTTTGATTCCAGCTCCACAAGTTTGCATGTTCTCCCCATGGTTGCTCATCTCTGTGTGCCCTGCAATTGGCTGGCAACCGGTTCACGGTGTCCCCCGCCTATTACCCGGAGACAGCTGGGATAGGCTCCAGCACGTCCCGCGACTCCTGTGAGGAAAAAGCGGATCAGAAAATGGATG